CCATGTAAATTTAAAAGAGCACTAAAAAAACTTTTAGGTAGTTTGTAATTTATTCCATTTTTAGCATACTAATAAAATATTTTTAGAACTTTGTTAAATGAATAATAATGAAGCCATGATGTGTCTTAACTAGTGCAAACGTGTCAGCTTAATGAAAGTGCAGTGTCTGCACTATAAAATTGGAGTACCACCCACAAAATGTTTTGAGATCAGGGGGCCTCTTAAAAAAAGAAAAGAAAAATAATACCTCAACAGGTAAAAATACATGCATAATACATAATTTTGTAACAGTACATAAATTTGTTTCGTACAATGTGTTTTATAGATAATAACATAAAGAATTAGTAAAACGTAAATTCATTACATTAAATCAGCCTTTTTGGCACGTATACTATGTCAATTAAAAAAGAAAGTATTTAAAAATGAAACGTGAAATATTTTACTCATTAAATATTTTCTTTCAAATTATGTAAATCAAGTTACTGAATAATAAAACTACTAACTGCTTATTAATATTTCTATAAAATCAGAAACTTTCATTCTTCTAAATTCACCTGTGTGCCCCACTTAGTCCGGCCTCAGTTGTTCTCTTATTATTGCTTAAAATAATGAAATTTGCAATTGATATAAATGTTGCCTGTATATTTTTTAAAGGTCCAATAAGTTTAGCTCTGTATATGTCAGATTCTGAAGTGCAGCAATTTCTCAGCTATACTCTCAGTTCAGAAATCCTCAGCAGTCGGAAGAATCTCGGCTATCACATCGTATACAGGGATGGAGTAAGTTTCAAATCAAAATGATGTCAAGAAAATATTTCAATTGTACAAATGACTCAACCCTTTCTTTCTTTCTTCTTCCATAGCCATTCTACCCGGTCAACTTACTACGGAATGTGGCTCTGCAACAGGTCACAACCCCTTTTGTCTTTCTGACTGACATAGATTTCCTGCCCATGTATGGACTCTATGAGTACCTCAAGAAGTCGGTGGCTTCCATGGGATTAGAATCATCTACAAAAGTATGCACTTAATGGTTTTTTCTATCTTGATTTTCAATCACGTAGCTCAAACAGAGAATGAACCTGGGGAAGAAGTCTCATCTTCCATAGGCACAATTTGCCCAAGGTTGGGCGTGGTCCTTGTGTATAAAGGAAAAAACGTTTAGGGGCATAACAGCAGAGGTTCCTGAAATGCACCCTCCTCATGGGTGCAAGTTGGGAAAAAGGCCAAG